GTGAAAGATAAAAATCTGTGTTGCTGCATCGTAGATGGATCGGTCACATGCGCGGAATCATGTCGCTGGTTCCTGCGCGGTGGCAGCATATTGCAGCTGCACTACATCTTATCCGGGTGCAATACGCTCCCTAACCCTTTAGTCCGCAAAGTGGGCATCAAGGAATCGTTTAAAGTCCGACACCGATTTCGTCTCGACTAGCGCCACCGGGCAATTTGTTCCAACATTTCACCACTCGACGCTCGAAGCATAGACGGTCAGCGATGTGCTTAAATCCGGTACCACTAGTTAGTACCGGTGTCTGCGTGTACTGCTTGGTGCGCGAACGTGCAGCAACGGCTTCAACATAGGGAAGTGGCCCAGGTGCAGTATCAGGTGCCCCATAATGAGATGAACTTGAATCCGACGATATGACAGGGTATAAAGACCTAGTCTCTTACATCTGCCCTCGTACGACATGCGTCGTAAACTGGGGATGGACCCGGTTCAATCTATACATCTCACTTATTGTGATCGGACAATAGGCGAGTGAGCTGTACTCAAACACCGGCCTTATGAGGGAAGAAAACAGACGGGTGGCAATCTCTTCAGACCAAGGGTGCAGAAGCTGCGTTTAAGTGCCAAAAGCAGGCGTAATCCTTTTATGTACAGTCTGTTTGTGTTGTAGACAGACTTCAGACCACAGCGTGAGAGTACGCCTAGATCCTTTACGGAATTGGTGGGAAGCAGCGGGTGGCCGGTCAGAGTGTAGGCACCATATTACTACCCCCCGGGCTCATAAACGAGGAGTTAGTTGACCGGTAGATCAACTTCTGCAAACCACCGACACAGGCGGTCGAAGTCCTGCTGTAGGTCACAGTCGCCGGGAGAATGAATAATTCTCCAAATGTTCAGGTCATCCGCAAGTAATGCGCAAGGCGACCGAAGAAGCTGAAGCAATTCATTGATGTGGATCAGGAATAAACTAGGCCCCTAGTACTGTGCCTTGGGGTACGCCGCTAGTGGACGGGTACGATTCTGTTAGGTGATCATCCACCTAAACCCGCCATATTCCACCAATAAGGAAGTCACTGATCCACTAGTGCGGTGAACCACCAACACCACACATCCTCAGCTTGTGGAGCAAAACCTCACAATTCGCTTTATCGAAAGCATCACTGAAATCAACGTAGATAACATCCATTGACTTCCCTCGATTCAACGCTTGCAACCATCCGTGCTGCGTCAACAGTAGGTTGGTGATGCACGAGCGGCCCTTCATGAATCCGTGCTGTGCCGGCGTTAGGAGATCTTTCGACTCTAACCGCTGGAGAAGACCCTTTTTTACAATCTTCTCGAGCACCTTCATCAAAACAGTGGTGAGACCAATCGACCGGTAATTGTCCACACTGTGTGAGTCACCACCATTTGGAATCGGCCTCACTACTGAGCATTTCCAGTCGTTCGGCAATGCACCCACGGACAGCGATGTGTTGAATAGATCCGTCACGGCAATCGAGATGATGGCCGATAAGGACTTCAGAATTAGCCAGTCCATCGGGTCCGGCAGGTTTTGTGTCGTCAAGACTGGCAAGTAGACTGCGGACATGTTCCACACGGCAATCAAAGCCCTCGAGTTCAATAGGGGCTGCACACATCGAGCTCGGCATAGGCGCATGCCCACTTGTAAATACGAAAGCGAAGTGCTCCGCCAATGTGGACGCACGTTCAGTGCTGGAGGTCGGACTGTTCGTCAGCGCCCTCTAACGCAGCTACGTGACTTGTGGTCCTCAGGCGCCGCTTCTTGGGGGCTGTCTTCACTGAAGTTGCAAGCTCCTCTTCGAACTGCCGAGGCTTTTGTGCGGTTACATAGATTCCGCTGCCTTTTGTACGCCTCATAATCGTCTGCAGAGTCAGACACAAGGAATTTATTTCACAATTCGCGACGCCATCCAGCCAATTGACTATACTCCCTGTCGAACCGATGTGGTTTCATTGGCCCAGTTTTCCGACACTTGAGGGGTAGGAAACGAGCGCACAACGATCGCACACCCTCTTTTATAACAGACCAACAGGCTTCAACAGATGAATCCTGCGGTGGCGACCAGTCTACTTCACTCGCGGCTCGATTTAGACCATTGATATCGGTCTTCCAACAATTGTAGGACGACTCTGGCAAACGCGAGTAGGGCAGCGGTAGCTCTAGGCTGGCTAACACTATCGAGTGGCCACTAGCTGCCAGAGACTTCAGGACCTGAATTTCATGTATACGTTGCTCGCAACTCGTTAGTAGTAGGTCCAGACACGATGGAGCGGAATGTGGTGTAACGCGCGTTAGTTGGCAGACATGTTGTGCTGCCCCAGTTTCAAATACCATCTCCGCAAACTGCGGTTTGACTTCAAAGTGCCCGGGGAGAAGTTGAGCCTCAGGCCACCGTAATCGAGGGAAGTTAAAATAACACATAAGCAGGAAGTGGAGCCGATTCATGTAGTTTCTGGCATGCGGCAACCAATCTAGGCATCGACTTCGCGGGCTGCGATAAACCGCACCCACAAACAGTTCACTCTGTCTCAGGCGGATCGAGCACAAGCCATATTCGCTACGGTAGGTGTGTACCAGTCTCCCACACAGCGAGGAGCGAATGTATAACAGCACGCCGCCTCGATCGTTTGATAATCTGTCGCACCGGAAGCAAGAGTAGCCATTGATCTGGACTCCATGGGTAGTGACCTAAGAAATTAACCAGGTTTCGGCCAGTCCTAGTACGTCCGGACGACATGAGGCAACGAATTGAAGTACATCGTCACGTTTGTTCATTAAACGACAAACATGTGTGAAAGCTACGCGCAGACCGCGGTAGGAACCCGCAGACGCGCAAGAAGCGTCATCAATCTGTTGGTCCGGGTTCAGCGGACCCGAGGAACTGCCCGAAAAGTTACGATGTGGAGATTGGTTTCTCCACTATCATCCGTCGCTTCGACTCAACAGTAGCGGACTTCAGTTTCTCTCTGTCAGACGGATCCAAATCGGGACGAATAAGAATCTTTAGACCTCTCAGCCTACAGAGGAAGGATCGTATCAGCCTCGAACTCATCGCATTAACAAACGTGACTCGCAGAGGCCGGGATTTTCCCTCCTCTCTCTTTCCAAGACGGGTGATTTGCTTCATCCGCAACCCCTGTTCATTCAGGTCGAGAAGCCCATCAATCATGTTCTGCAGAAAATCCACGTCGTGACCATAACGGGCCTGAGTACTAGCATCTGTTGACTCAGGCGAGTGAAATATCATAAGGTTGCTGGCATTTGTGTTCGCCTTTTTGCTTTTCCGCATTTTCCATTGGTCTTCAATGCCTGCGCTATCGCACACCGGCTGTTGGTGTCCGTAGGACGCAACACAGGCACGCCAGCTGAGTCTTCAGCAACGGTTGGACATCGCGCTGAAGCCTGCAGCCGGTGGGCAGGTGGAGGGATCGTTCGAACATAGAGGTGGCTGGGTTTCCGCTTGCTTGGATGAACCCACGGAGCTCCCCCCAATGGAGTCTTTCGCTCGTCCTGTAGGCTCGCGCGGCTTCTCGGCTGTTTGTGACTGCACAGTGGCTTGGCATTTCTTGCATAATATTTGGACAAAGTCATGCTTGATTTCCCACACAGTAGTTTGAAATGATCTGGACAAAGCAATACAGGAAATGTGGAAATGCACACCACACATGAGACATGTAACAGCGTTGGTTCTATGCCAAACTATTTTGCAACAAGTGCAACAGGGAGTAAGCTTTGTCGTTACCGATAGCTGCTTAGCAGGTGGGACGGTAAAGGGTATAAAGTGAACGATAAGTACATGATACAAATACCAGCGTAAAATGTACGGACACGAAACATACAGAACAACCAAATTCATAATCGCAAAAGAAAGTGAATTAGACAAAAATAAACACGAAAAATCTGCTCTGCACAATGTAATGAACGATGCAAACTGGCCTGTCAAACAGAGCGAGAAAAGCCGTCCGGCTTTGACTCCATGTCACGCATAGAGGAGCCTGTGAAAATTCATCGACCTTGATGAGTTCCTACAACGATACGATCTCCCCAAGGGCGAGAAACGTGCCGATTGCATCATACGCATCAGGTGATCCAAACCTCGGCCTCGGAGGCGAAACGGGCTAACGGATAACGTAATTGGGGCAGGGAACTTGATAACTGAGCTACGACCATATGTAGCATGTGTCCGAACCCCCGTCGTTCGCCTGCCTAGTAATTGAGCTACGCTAATAATCGTTAACTACGGTTTGTCGACTCGAATTGGACGATATCATTCTGGTGCATACCGGGACATCTACACCATTTCTAGGCCAAGTTGTCGCCTTGGGCAACAGAATTAATCTGAGGGGGCATCCAACATGAGTCTACTCAATTAATTTGTTCCGTGCGTATGAGCTGAATCGTCCCACCTACACCCCTATGACTTAGTGCGTCTGAGGTCCAATTGGCTGAAGGCGACGGGCTACACACGCACACCTTCACACCTGCACAAGTGACTGGCGTAGGCACGGAACAAATTAATTGAGTAGACTCATGCTGAATGCCCCCTAAGATTATTTTTGTTGCCCAAGAGGACAACTTGGCCGGGAAATGGTAGTGTTCAGGTGAATGAAGGGGAGCAATGTTAGACTCGTTCAACCCTTTAGCCTTGAGAACAACCCATTGCGAAGCAGTCGCGCAAGGATGAAGCGCGAAACGGTGGAACTTCTGGACATCGGTTAAGTTGGAAAATGGTATACACTTGACTCGGTCGTGAGCGTAGGCGGAAACGTGATTTGTGTCCCCGTAACATAGAGTTAATCGAGTTCGCTAACCTGAGCGAGTTGCTCGAGTTGAACTTGGGTGACTGTGCTTAGAGATGAAAGTCGGCGCACGCGGCCACGACCAGTGTGTGTGAAAACGATGCATAACGAGTAAAAGTGGCACCAGAAAAACGACCATCTCGAGCTGAATCGAGACAGATACACAGTGACGCACTTACAGCGAAAACATCCACGTAGAGGATGGTGAAGTGAAGCACCATGCTGAAAGAGATTGCGATCACGAGCCAGATGTTCCGCCACGGCGGCATAGCCAACAGAGATTGGTTTTCCGATAAACTGTTTCACGGAGACAAAGGTGAGGGAGATGAGACCGGTCGGAAAAGATAACGAAGGGTTAAATGGTGCACTGTGCGGCGGAAATAAAGAGTTTTGAGACTAAACAAACAGGTGTAAGATGAAGCTTACACTCATACATGAAATCAGGATGAGCATGTGTCTTGAAGAGATCTTAAAATGTGCGTTATCTCATTGTTTGTTCCGCAGGCTGGGATATCGAAAAGTGTCTGCCTCCATGACGATGTCATGAAAAAAAGAAACGCGTCAGCAGTAGCCGGTACGCAGTACCGACGCTTCGATGCTGCGCAACCACCACCGGTCGCACGTGAGCTAAGGATACTGCGATGGTCGCCCTGCTCCTACGCAGGATCGAAACCGCGCCGTCAGATTACACGACAAGCTCGTTACGTTTAGGCAACGGGCCGGCATGCCATGAGCTTAGGAACGTCAATTGATTTTACTTTCCTGCAAGTAAATGGTCCCATTCGACTCGTCTGACGCAGATGCCTGAAGGGAAATACGAAGGAAGGAGATTGTGTCGGAAATACCATGTTCTAATGATGTGTGCGATCAAGATTCGTGGTGACGGATAGGTTCAGTGTGAGACCCCTATTGGTAAAAGACAAAGACATGATGAGACAGATGATCAGTAGTGTCATCCGGAGTGTCCAACTTGGCCATGGACACCATTTTTGATGGTCATCAAGAAGGCCATGGATTCAGTGTCCGGCAATCGCATGACGAGGTCCGAGCTATGAGGGGTCCTCATCTGCGAGTAGATGATAATTACTGGAGGCACCATAGGTAGGCTGGAGGTCAACTCTGTGGTTTCGTAAAACCCTTTCCGAATCAATCCGATGGTTGCATCACACTATGTTCGGTTGAATAATCCAGACAAGAATGAAGCAACGAGGCTTACGCTCAACTGAGTGATCGCAAGACCCGGAATACAAGTGACTGTAACGTTTGGGTTCTAGGTGTGGTGAGTACTACTGTGTTCGAGACGGTAATGAAACACACAGCATCAGTAGGATACAAATCTCAATAAACTGCTCGGTGGAATTAATTGTTGGTTCGTTTGAAGCGCACGTTGTGTGAATGGGTTGTGATATGCATACTCTGAAGCAAATAGCGGTCAGTCTCGCTCCAATAGGAGACTGCACTATACGGCAGGTTTCGCGCCTGTTTGCACCCGTCAGGTCCGCAGAGCGGAACAGTGACTCTAACCTAGAACACTGAGACTGTTAGCCGAAGCCTTCACTTTAGGCATTCAATTGACAGGCAATACTTGTCATAACGAGGTTGATTACTCATTGGTAAGGATTGTGGCGGGTGTCGCTTGTGACCTGATGACGTAGGGTCCTCAAGGTCGCGTCGCGTCGCTATGATTGGCTGATTAAGAAGGTGAGGCCTCGGTCCCCAGTGTAATCGCTGCACAGTACAAGGCAATGACATGACACAGACGAGCGACATTAATATGCCCCTGATGACCATCCTAAGTGCTCCTGACTTAATAATAGCAGCATCAAAGTGTGCGAGAACGTTCTGACGATATACGAATTAGACTAGTGCACGGGATTTCAGGGAAGAAGTGGGATCGATCTGCCAATCGATCCCTTAGGTGCTCCATCTAACAATATTGGCCTACGTGACATGTGCCAACAGATTCGAAAACGGTTATGGGGTCAAATGCTGTGAGTCGATGACGCCTAACAGTTATCTGTAGGGAGAAATGTTTCCAAATGAGGAAAACAAGGTGAAAACAGCTGGCACCAATAATTTCATCTCGCAGAGGGTTGAAGGGAAAGGAGTGAACAGTCAGAGTCCCGTTGCGCTTTGTTGCCTGAGCGACTAACTTGAGTTCGGCCGCATTAGCGCGAAAGTGCACACAATAACAGCTTTGGAGGGGGAGTCTGAACACGATTAGTTCATCTCGGCCAGAACTAACAATGGAAACGTAAAACTTAGCAAACCAGTCGTTGGGTACAATTTGCCGGAGCGGAATGTCGATGCTACTGTGGCACACGAGGGATGAGAGATGGGGTTTTGAGACAATACACGAGGACTGGAGCACAGGTAACTAATGAAAAGCAGTGCCAACAAAAGGCGTGTTGCGAAGCAGAAGAGCCACAAAAAATCGGAAAGTAAACCTTAGAGATTGATAAACGCTTATTGCGGTGTGGATGCGGCAGAAGTGATGGAAACAACGAGGCAATTATTGAGGACCGATGTTTGTAAAAGTGGTGACCATTAGGAGAAGAAAAAGCTGATAGAAGCAGCAGCAGCAGCAGAATATTTGAGTTTGTTCTGATCGCACTCGACTGGTAGGTCCGGCAATAAAAAGCCGGGATATGCCTCATTCCCCGAATTCGTTGGGTGCGCCCTGCGTCCTGATGTAAGTTGACAGCGATAGTAAAACGACCAGGGGACTATAGAGCAAGGAGACTCAACATTTTTGGAATTGAAGCCGGTAAGATGACGGTGTGTAGCGAGTCAACTTGAGAAGCTGGTCTTTTGTGAGAAACTTCAGAACAATCACGAGACCTAGGAGTCAAACGCTTGAGGGACAAAGCCGGTCTTGGTAAATCCAACGGTATAAAAGGCGCGCACGGCGCCAAACAATTTTTCCGTGATTAAGAAACTGCAATGAGCAAGAGCACTTAGCAGTACGGTAGTCACCATGTGTATTTTGTTGGTAGCATTGTCCAGATTTTCTACGGCAACAAAGTAGGTTTCTCGTCTAAGGTGCTTCGAATTATTCGTACAGAGTACTGAAGACAAAAGCTATAAGACATACATAGAGTATAGCCGCCTAGAGTGCCTCAGAAATTTCTGTTCCATTCGTGTCTGTCACCCGTGGAATGCTCTCTCAGAATCGGTCGTCCCTGCACCGACACCAACAGTAGTTAAAAGACGGTTGGATGATGCACTCATCCACTTTGTCACTTAGCGCTACGTCTCCATCCTAAACTTGGGATTTACCATGGAATTATTTGATGTTAACTGCGGGTGCTGTGAATTCAAGCGGATTGTAGGACTGCAGAGGGGGAAATGTTGAGTCCTAATTTTCGTAGTTAAGTATCAACAGTTTTAGTATTATTATCATCATTATTGTTATGTCGATATCCCCACCAAGTATCCAACGGGACTTGTAAAAGAACGATCCTTAACCCGTATTAATTCATTGTTCATCAGTGCTGCTCCATGAGTATAATATCGGAGCAGTACGCGGAATAAATTTATTGATTACCGCGCACTCTCAACATAGTGCGATCATGCGCAGTCCCGTTCAGGTGTGATGCGCTCTCGAGGTTCGCAATCAGTGAGGTGGCGTCTACAAATGTCTTGGATTTCGACACCAATATGGCCCCGATTATTGTCTCAGAAAGGCTGTTCCAATATTTCAAGCATCGACGCAGAAAAAGGGTAACCTTAGCACTTCAGGTCCGGTGCCACAAACTTGTACTGGTGCGCGCAAGTGCTAGTTGATGCGCACACGTGCAGAAGTGGCCTCAGCATAGGAACGTCATCCAGATATGGTATCCGAAGCAAAATATGTGAGTCAGAAGGATACAATAAAAATGTGGTTTCACCAGCTGCTGCAGGGCGTCAATAATATGCTACTGGTATACTTGGAGTCAAAAAGGGCTCCGTGTGGTGGCTGTAGGGCACACACATGAAATTCGTGTGTAACTGAACGAAGTACTCGGTGCGAACAGAGGCGCAACGGCCCAAACGGCTTGAACCAACAGAAAGTCAAATATCGTACCGATAGCATCGAACGAAATCGACAACCAAACAAATGGGGACTACATGTTGCTGCCGCGATCACAAGTGGCCGCCAAAAGTGCGGATAGGCACAACTCGCAAGCATCGCTAGTAAGATTAGAGCAACTGTGACCCACCGCCCAGGTAGCACCCGTGCCAAACGGGCCATCTGTGTGCGGGTGTGTGTGGTAAGGCAAGCACCCGGACGGTTAATCAAAATCGCAACCAATTGCACCTGTTGTACAGATCCTGCATTAGGAAAAAAACAACATCCAGATGGTTGCCAACATGCAGCGCATACTATTCCAGGCGCACTGTACGTTCTTCATCACTGCACCGCATCAGTCCGCCGAGTCTCTCGCGAAACTTGAAGAGAAGACAGATAGATGGCGGCGTAAAATATCCGCCTAACGTGGACACATGTGTTAGTGATGAGGGAGAATGGATTAATGCACAGTTGAAACAGCAACTTCAACAGTGAGCAAACAACTGTCGACAAGAAGTAGAAAAATGGCTAATCAGCACAGTGTCAAGCTCCCTAGTTCACAGGCACAAGGTTCCAGATCAGAAATAGCACACGGTAGATTTGTGCTCCTAAAACTTGAAAAAGCAGGTGTTTGACAGAAACGCAGAATACCAGGGACCGTTGTAAGATAGAAAGCATCGTTTTATGAATCGTATAAGATAAAGTTGACCTTGCTGACCAGAAGAGGCTTTTTCAGAAGACGGGAATCATGTTTAAGCGGATAGATGGTAACTGTAAACGATAGGAAGAATCAACCTTTCGCACAGTTCCCTCATTGGTTAATGACCCGTTGTTATACACTGCCCTGTCCAGGCAACCCAGGCCTATGCGGCGAAGTGCCATGAGTAAATGCTGCATGATTACTTATGAGTAGATGGATTACAAGCCGCAGACAACCGTTTTGCCCCCTGGGGGCTCGTCAGTGGTGGACATTCTCTCGGTCCCCTTCCGCTACTGGCTTGCAGCACTAGGCAGCAAGTTATGCCACTGAGCCATGGTGGGCGATGCTTAATCACCATGGATCGTAATCTAAATGCGATACCTTCAGATTAATCTTCCACTTCCCTTCGGGTTAGTGTCCATGATGAGGATAGTGGATGGTCCTTCGGTATCAGAACTTACCCTATCAGCAGCCGTGAATCCACACAGCATTTTGAAAAATGGTAGAGGTAATTTTTTGATTATTTATGCGTATACGGATTTGGTT